AGAAGGCCTTTACAGAACATCCCTGCATTTCATCCTTCAGCACCGAGTTTTCTTCAGCTCTGCTTCTTTATGCTGGAAAAATGGGGATTCAACATGGTTTCTTAAAGTGAGACTACTTCAGGCTTTAGGGGGCTTCACTGATGGTATCTGCAGTACCAGAAAACGCATCAGAGACATCAAAAATAACTTCCTGATCAGGAATTAAATGTAACAAAATTGTATGTGACAAAACAAAATGTCAGATGTGGCTTTCAGAATCTGTCACAGTTTAATGGGGGGGAAAAATGCTTATTTTCAAAAGGGAAGTTAACCATTTAGTTATGAGGGAAAGGCCTTCTTATTTACCCAGCACCTATATCAGTAGGTGCCAAGCAATTAAAATATCAAATAAAGATGTTCCTCTGCTACCAAGTATTTTTATGGTTAATTTACATGTAAGTGCTCATATTACTCATTACTCTGAATAGGGACTTTTACATTTTTAATTTCCATTTTCTTTTTCTGCTATATATTAATGTATACTATTTTTACTGCTTTATTATTTTTTTACTGATTCCAATATTTTAAGTCATCTTATAAATCAATGAATTCCAGTAATTGGCTAAGTTAAGAATATTTTAAAAAATAATAGTTTCATTTCCTGGGTACAGTAAAATACAAGGGACACAGATTAAGTTAATTGCCTTTAATAATCAGGGTTGGTTCTGGTTAGCATTTGGAAGGGGTCCACCAAAACTCTGCAGAATTATAAACTAGATTGCAAGACGTCAGTGACAAACTAGTTGCTTTCTGTGGTGAAGAAAGCTACTTGGATGTGTTCATGAAATCACCAGAAATTGAATTCAGCTTGGGAGACTTTTAATGAAAACTGATCCTCATCAATTCAAGTTTAGCCTGAATTCATTTTAGCTTTCCAGCTGCAGTTATTTACATAAACTAGATTGGGTAATACATTAACATTATATATAATGTGAAGTATAGAAATACACAAGTGGAGGAAAGTTTAAGAAAATTACAAACACTCAGAGTTGCATGAATGGAAATCTGTTTTCTCAGCCTTCTTCCCCATTTTCATACTGTCAGATTTGCTTTTCTGGAAAGGAAAAGGAGCAGATGGGCTAGACAGAGTAGGGAATAGAAAATCAACCAGACTTTCCATTCAAAGAACTTTCATTCTGACCTTATAAAAAGTTATTTTAATTGTGAAAAGGCTTTACATTCTTGTGTTGCTTATCCATCCTCAATATTTTAACTTTCTTTAGCATGTTACTTATATTTTGTACCATATCAAAGTTTTGCTTTAGAAACAGCAACATTCTAGTTCACTATGATGAAGCGTGATAATAATAAGGCAACAGTAACTGCTATTAGATTCAAATTTCTAATTAAATTAGTAGTGTCTAAATGAATTTGTAAAATGTACTAGAGAACCACTCTGATTACCTGATTCCTTTTTTTCCTTCCCTAACCTCACAGCTACCTTAATAGTAATCTAAGGACTGGAACAGATATTTGTTCTTCTCTCAGCTTAAGAGGTTCATGTCTTTAGCATGCATCTCCTAATCAGCCCACTTGAATAATGAGTCATGCTGCAGGATCATTCGGCTGATTAGAGAAAATGGAAGGTGGTCTTGAAGGGGGAAAAGTGCACATCTACCCAGTCTGGCTATTGCTGAGAATTCTGGGAGCTGAAGTCTACACAATCTAAAAGTTGCCCAACTGTCTGGCTTACACTGTTGATTTATATGTCATTAATACTGTTGTATGTTATCTGCCATCTGCTTTAGTTTTTATGTTTACATATGCAGTGTAAATATGTAAAAATAACCTATGTTTTCCCCTCTGGAAAGAGCATAATATGGACATTTCTGTGTCCCTCATTTCTTTCCCACAGACTTTAGTAAGGAGCCAGGTGCCCAACCAAGGGATAGTAGTGCAAGATTGCTAACTTGTAACTGGTAGAAGGAATTTAACTAAATAAGAATACTTCCATTGAGTGAAATAAGATAAAACAAACAGGATTACCAGATAAAGAGTGTGAGAATAAAGTTCTGCAGAATAATTTCCCTTATTCTTTTGCTCTTCTTAGCAACTGTGTCATTATGTTATGTTGTATTTTATGAGTGCATGTAAATAATTTTTCAAACTATAAAGTCAAGATAATGCAACCATTGTCTGAAATATCTCATATAAAAGCCTCATAATTATATTTAGATTGAATATAAAGCCCTTAGACGTTAAATAAATGAAAATGGAGTCCATCTTAACATAGCTTTGTTGATCTTCTGACAGAAAATATTCTATCCTATTTTATGAATACTACTAGACCTTATTCATTCTTAATACTTACTTTTTCAAATCCTGAATTTTTTTCTGTGAAGGTATCTGTGTATTACTGTCAGCCTTACTAGGTAGACCAGACAGGAAGCACGACCAGATGAACAAATTCTACTGTATTGTAAAGCTACATTAACAGAATCTTGCAACTCTGAAAGTACAATTCGCCCGACGTCTCTTTTACAGCCTGAGAAACTAGAGAGGGTCCCTTCTGAGCCTCTTGCCCCGCACACTATCCAGTTGCAGGCTATGCTGTCTCTTATCTGACCGTTCCCTAGGCAGCGTTTCTTGGCCCATTCTCCCAAGATCTTTCTTACATACTATTACAATTACAGCGTATAACATTTTTGGTAGCTAAGAATACATATTGCAGATTTCATGTCCTTGAAAAGACATTTTTCTCTCCTTTCACTGTCCTTCCGAGGCAAGATTGGGAAATTAGAATGGGCCAGTTATGGTGTGTTAACTATAATGCTTGTCCTGAAAAATTTCAGTCAATTGCTGCCTTCATTTTTTAAACAATTTAGTCAGTTTATAATTGATTGGAGCTGTTATTTCTTAAATTACATCTCCCTCTGCTTTCAGGTTTTTGACTGTACTACTCATCCAGACACTTTCCAGTGGCTTACCCAACTTGATTGCCAAATACAGACAATAAAATCAACTACTATACATGAGAATGCAGATTTACTTTAAAAAGAAAGATATTTATCTGTGAAATAAACCTACATGGACTACTTTTTAAATTTTATCTTTAAGACACTATTGTGCTAAAGTGCCTCCAGTGCTTTGTAAGCAGAAAATAGTTTTGAGTTTCAGAATTTAGGGACACTGAAAAGAAATATTTGGATCTTAGATTATTGATTTTTCTAATCTAATACTGATTTCACCTGCAAGACCTTTATGCCAATACATCAGAATCTACTTACACTAAATAGTAATGGGGGACTTTAGTAATCTAGCAATGAAGTAGCATTTTATGCAAAATTATCAGTTTCTTAATTTTGCAATAGTGATTTGTCTTTATATGAAAACCGTTTTTCCCTCGGTATATGCTGGAATATACATACATCTACTTTCTCTAGTTTTTCACTATTTATGTTTAATTTGCAGTCATCCATTTAATTTTCCTTATCAAGCACGACTACATTGTTCTCTGCTACATTGTTGCATCCTGCAGCCTATTTAAATCTTTACAAATCACTTGATTATTCAGATGACAAGATGGTGTCTGTATACAAAAGCACATACACATTCAAATCCCCAACTCACACACTTGTAACATCAAGAAGAGATTAATACACATTAATCCAGCCTTTCTCAACTGAGCTTCTGTGGAATCCTAGGGTTCCACAAGAGGTCTATGACAGTTCTGCAAGAGATCATAATAAAAAGAATAATAAACATTGTTTTTTGAAATTCACCCACTGTGCAATGCTAGCTATAGATATAACTTTTCTGTAAAGATTCTCTGAAACCTAAAAATTATTTCAAGTGTTCCTCCAGGATAGAAAAGTTAAGAAAGGCCGCATTAATCTTTAAATGCATCAAATAACTAAGGGGCATCTTTGCTTTACAGTTCAATTTAAAACCATTCACTAAACTTTCCATTTATTCTCATGCATATTTAACTTCCATCACATATTCATCTTACCAGCATTCAGCAACCAATCTTCAACT